CAGTTTTGGGAAAACGTTTCGTCCACCTCAAGTTCCAATGTAGCAACAGCTGTCAGATGGTCTGGACTCCCAATTGTGTCTAAAGGTGACACTGACAGTGGTTCGCATCCTCTACAGCAAATTAGGTCCAGAATGTTTGCTCCTCGGATGGGAAAATCGACTACCTAATTCCACATACCGATAGCTACGGCCTCAAGTAAGTTCACAAACTTTGAGGGACTGGAGGGTGGACACCACTGCACCTCAGGAAGATTGAAGTCACCTGCAATCAAGCAGTACTTACGATTCAAGTCGGCTGCGGCATGAAATGCCTGGGAAACAAAGATCGTAGTCCACACTGGCTTTGGGTGGGCGATAGACACAGCCAATGAGTAAGGAGTATTTATTCTTTAGAAGAATTCTGAGCCAGCAGCTCTCCTCTACCGCCATAAATTGTAGATAGTCCAGCGGCATAGATGTAAGCGGCTGCTTAATATAGATGCAGCTTCCTCCGCCGCAGCCATTCTTACGATCATTCCCAGTGCACGTATAGCCTAGAATAGAAAGTTCGGAGTCAGCTACACAGGGCGATGCCCATATCTCCGTTACCATAACAATGTCTGGGCGGTTGACGTAAACCAGAGTCTGGAGCAGAGGCATCTTGTTAAGCAGAGATCTGGCATTTAAAACGACCAGTTTAAGGGGGCACGTCTTTGGATTTGGCGGCGAGACAGCTAGGCTGTCACAGTTACTGCCTTCGACCAAAGAAATGCCCTTTTGACCTGAATTATTTGTCCCTCTCTTATTTTTAGATTTGTCTCGCTATTGGTTCTTCGTTTTTTCAACTTTATTATTAACTCTCTCATCTTTATTCGTTCTTTCAACTCGTAATCCGGCTGAAAAAACTTGTGAATGCAGGCTCCGTAAGGATGGTTTTCGCTCTAGCAAAATTTGCGCCCGTGCTTCAGTTTCTAAAATTACTTTCAGAGGTCGTGGCCGAGGATTTGATTCTGGAGTTGTTGGAGCCTTCCCTATTCGAAATGCCTAAAGAATACGGAATGACTAACCTGTTTTTAGCAAAGATTTGGCGTACTTTTTATTAAAGCCACACCATGGTCAACTCATTCTTTTGGAATTATTGACGCTAACTCTAGGACCACTTTTACAAATACATTCTGCTTACGACTCAGTGGGGCGCCTGTTGCGAGCTCACGTGTTTCGACCAAGCGAGCACTTGTATCCGGTACAATAGTTTCGATAGGTCCGGATGTACTGGCTATTGGGTAAGCTCAGACCAATCCCGTGATCGGTTTGGTCTTCTTAGGCCTTTACCTCTTTGGCTTTATGAAATCATCGACCTCTTTATCATCGCTTCCTGGTGCGGCGTCGAACAGCGATGTAGCGCTGGGTTGTAAATCCAGATCACTGCTAATGCTGCCTGAACCGAACAGTGATGGGTTAGACTGCGGACTTATTTGAATTCCTTTGCAAACGATCGGAACGGCCGCTAGTTTAGTCACCTAGTCCACTTTATGCTGCACTCTAAGGATATCAAGTAGGTTTTCAAATGACTTCTTACATTGGGACCTAACAGTCGCCTCGGGTAGATTATATCACGGTTTCACAATCTGGTTAGCTACAAAATACTTTCTTACATCCAATCTTCCTATGGGCACATTTAGATTGAATGGATATCCCGAAGCGTATCTTTATTAGCGAGTCGGAAAAATTGGCCATACAGGAGACCGCAGTCCAAGCGACGAACGAACCGGATAGTTTATATCAAGTAAGTAGGGAGCAATAGAGGCGGTGAAACCGGAAGGACAACTGAAAGTTGGAGGGATGTAGACATACACAACGGTTAGCGGCGCCGGACCAATGTCGAAGGAAATGGCCAGTACTTTCGTTGGATCGGCACCAAGCAGCGGTAGCTGATGATGAGCAATATATTTGTCCACCAGGAAGGCCAAACCTCCGTCTTTGTTACGACCGCGGTCGCGACGGACGATCGTGTAGTCTGCACAGAAAAAGACCTTGGTGGAGTTAGGCCACTTCGTCCCTTGGATAGCCGCTACAGCTATGCAGTGCGATCGCATGAATGCGAGGAGCTGGTCAAGCTTGCCGAGTAGGCCGTTAACGTTGAACTGTATAAGCTTACGGCTAGGCGGCGTAGCCAGTTCAGAGACTTGAGCATTTGTGCGGAAAACACGACGAGCAGGAGGCGTAGGGGCAGGTGAAGACGGGCGACCAATCGTCAGAGTTGGCGAGGCCACTGCAGCGGAGATGGTACTAACCATTGCAGCAGCTGCAACGTACAGAACAGTCGCTGCGGCCTAGGTGGACTTGGCAGAACGACCAGTACCAAGGAGATCCTGGGGCTGCGCGAAAGAGACTTTGACGACCACATTCAAAGCACTGACGAAGCCGCAACTCACTTATGCGGCACCAACCCGGTCTCCTACGATCAGTTCTTCCAGCCTCCGCCGCCTCCAGTCAGCACAGAACGCTGCCCTCCGCACGA